TAATGTTATGTAAGGTTATTCAATCACCAGACCTCCTTTATTTGAATATATGTCATTTGATTTTTGGAAAACTCGCATGTCTATTTTCTTGTAATCGATTGATTTTCACATGTGGCATATGATTTTAAGTGGTTATTCATCACCGTCACGTATTGTTAATGGAGTTAAAACTTATATTCCTTTTAATTAGTGGAATAAGGAAGAATAACTGAATGCAAAATCTTTAAATTGCTTTTTATGTGCTTTAAATTTTGAAGATTTCATGTTAATATCCACTTGCACTACTGGTAAGAAAGTTTGGGATAAACTACATACCATATACAAAGGCACTAGTGAAATCAAGCAATCCATGTTGAATATGTTAATGCATGTTTTGAGCTGTTTTCCATGAAACCTTTTGAAATGATCTTAGACATGTATACCAGGTTCATTCAAATTGTAACATCATTCCAACCTTAGGAAAAGAATTTTCAAATTTTGAAAAAATTAACAAAATTCTTCGTTGTCTACTGGATAAGTTCAATGCTAAAGTAGTTGCTATTTGTGAATCAAAAGATTTGAATGAATATTCTATTGATAATTTGATTGGCTCACTCAATGCCTACGAGCAAGGTTTGGGTCAAAGACTTTTGGATGCAGGTGAAACGATTGTTCTAAAAACTGAAGATACAGAAAGAAATAGTTTAGTTGGTGACGAATGCAATAACTTGACAAGCAAATCACAAAGCTCACCAAAGAATAAGCAAAAGTGGAAAAAAAGTAAAAGTGGTAAGGATGTAAATATTTCTTCTGACGTTATTTGCTTTCGATGCAGGAAGCCTGGACATATAAAAAATAATTGCCCTAATTTAAGAATTCTTCCTACGAAAGAAAAGGGCAAGTCAAAGCAAAATTTAAACCGGGGAAATAATGAAAGGCAAAAAATCTCATGGGCATATCTGGTTTCTGAAGCATCGGACCAGGAAAGAGATAATGGTTAAAAGCCTTTCGTATTTTTGTGTTGTGTTTTTGTGCTTTTCTTTTTTATTTTTGTGTTTTAGTTATATTTATTCTTTGAATTTTTATTTTCGTGAAAGTTTTTTCCTGATCAACACACACATTCACTTTTCTAAAAATGAAAAATCTACTTCCTAGTTTTTCTTGATATCTTTGGTAAGTTGTGTTTGACTTCTCTAAAACAGTCAAAGGAAGAAAACTCATGTTTTTTACTCTCAATCTCTATTTTCTAAAATAGGTTATTCTACTTTTGATTTAAAATCTTTTTCATCTTTTAAATTAGTCTTTGAAACTAAATTTTTTATCTCCCTATATTTTATTTATCGCATAGGGATCTTTTGCAAGTTGTTGAATCTAACTCATAATTTTCTTAATCAAGAATTCGCTTTATCAATAGGATGGGTTTACTTTTGTTTTTAAGACTTCAGAAAGGTAGCATATTAAAAAAAAATTGGCCAATGATGCCAAAAATAAAAGATGCATAATGACGCCAAATTGAAAAATATACACAAAGTGTATCAAAAATTAAAAGATGCGCAGTGCGCCAACCAATTGTCTAGAGGCATAAAATGAGCCCATAAAGTTTAATGCTTACCATTCTTGTACTTCTTTAAAGCTTAAGAAAATTCTTGATACTTTTGATACTTGATTTTGAAAAACATAATTCCTGATTCAACAATTCATGCATTAATCTTCTATTAAATGTATTTAATGAAAAGGGTTTTGAAAAATTAGTATTTTTTTTCTAATTTATTCCTTGATTTAGATATTGAATTAAAAGGTTTTTGAGCATTTTTAAAGAACTTGAATTGGATTATCAAATTCTGAATTTCTAAACCTTTTCTGGGCCATGCGTTCTCAAATCCAATTCTACTAAGTTTTTTTATTAAAACCAAGAGGTAACTTTCTCATTTTAAGAATATTTGTTTTTTTTCATTAGATTAGGGAACATTTTTGTCTTTTGTTCGTTTTGTTTTTTGTTTGTGTCTCCTCTCTTTTTGATAATGTCAAAGGGGGAGAACGTACTGTTGAGTTTGTATCCTTTTTTCAAAAAAATTTAAAAAAACAAAAATATTTTTTATCTCCCCTATTTTTTAAAAGGGTTTATTCTAATGAGGGGGGGATTAGGAAAAATTGCTTTTTTTTTTAAATTCAAATTGAATTGTTTGCCATCATCAAAAAGGGGGAGAATGTTGCGGATCAATGGCTTATGATTTTGATGATAAAAAATATTCTTATTTCTCTACGACTGCCTTATGTACTGACATTTCAGGTTCACACGATCGGACTGCAATTTAGAATCAGCTCAAGATTGGGTAGACTAGGTCTGAGTCAGTTTGTACATTTTTTCCTTTCTTGAGTCTATTGTATTTGGTATGGCTCCTTATATTTTGCAGCTTGAAAGATTTTCTATTGTTCCCTAAAAATTTCTATTTTTGGTAACATCGTCCAGGACGATATTTATATCATCCTGGATGATCTGTCCAAAAATAGAAACCCTAATTATGGCAACCTCATTAAGGCAGCCGTCATAAGCAGATCGTCCTGGATGATACCTGTATCGGCCAGGATGATAGTCTCAATTCAGAAATAATCTACCGCCATAATCAGTTTAGGAATTCTTTGTTTTAGGAAATCAGCCAGGACGATATTTATATCGTCCAGACCGATCTAACTCAATTATGCCTAAATTGATCTGGTATCTTTGGAAAGCATTAATGGTTGATTGATACGATCATATCATCCGGGACTATTGCAGGATCGGCCAGGATGATGACCTGGACGATCTACATCGGACAACTCTAATTCAGGGTGATAATCAGGACGATTGAAATCAGTTTTAAACTAATCGACCTGGACGATCGTGATATCGGCCAGGACAATGTAACAATTTTCTTCTGACCATCCTAATTCATCCCGGGCTGATGAGCTGAATTTGTACTGATCGGCCAGGACGATATACATATCGTCCTGGATGATAATGTTAGTAACTTGCATAAATGAGCTCGTTTTGAGAGCTTCTATTTAAGCTTTGTCAAGGCACTTTTGTAAGTGTCTTTGGCAGCCATTGTAGTTTCATTCTTGTGGGGAAAACTTGAAGAGAAAGCTTTAAAGGGAGTAAGGAATGGGTGAAGTCTGAGAGAGGGAGAAGATCCTGTGAGAGGGGACTCAAGGGAGTATGGAGGGGGATTCCACACGGTTTCTCCGGCAGGCTTGCACCTTAATACCGTCGGATTCAATACTTATCTTGACAGAAGTTCACCAAAGAAGAAGATCTCTTTGGTGTCAAAGGACCCGGCGACTCCGCCACACCGGGGAAGTTGGAATTGATTTTGTAAGGGCTTCTCCGCCTAGCTGTGGGGACTAAAGGAGAGACACTTTTGTAGTGCAATACTTGGATGGTGCTTCCAAGGAGTGGACGTAGGTAAAGGTTTGACCGAACCACTATAAATCCGGTGTGTTCTTTTCTTATTATTGCTTCCACATTTAATTTTCGCATCATCGATTTCTATGTGGTGATATTGGTTTTATTTTGTGTTTGTTTAAAGATTCTTCTTTACCAATTCACCTCTCTCTTGGTTAGCCTTGGGCTAGTTTTATAGGGCTTAACATCCCTGATGAACTTTCAAGTGGTATCAGAGCGGGATTCATAAAATAAGTTTTTAAAAGCTTTTAGATTTTTGATCCATGGCTAATCGTAATGTTGCGGAAGGTTATTTAATCAGCAGACCTCCTTTATTTGAAAAAATATCATTTGATTTTTGGAAAACTCGCATGTTTATTTTCTTGCAATCGATTGATTTTCGCATGTGGCATATGATTTTAAATTCTGAATATTTCATGTTCATATCTACTTGCACTACTGGTAAGGAAGTTTGGGATAAACTACATATCATATACGAAGGCACTAGTGAAATCAAGCAATCCAAGTTGAATATGTTAATGCATGTTTTAAGCTATTTTCCATGAAACCTTTTGAAACGATCTTAGACATGTATACTAGGTTCATTCAAATTGTAACATCATTGCAAGCCTTAGGAAAAGAATTTTCAAATTTTGAAAAGTTAACAAAATTCTTCGTTATCTACTGGATAAGTTCAATGCTAAAGTATTTGCTATTTGTGAATCAAAAGATTTTAATGAATATTCTATTGATAATTTGATTGGCTCACTCATTGCCTACGAGCAAGATTTGGGTCAAAGACTTTTGGATGCAGGTGAAACGATTGTTCTAAAAACTGAAGATACAAAAAAAATAGCTTAGTTGGTGACGAATGCAATAACTTGACAAGCAAATCACAAAGCTCACCAAAGAATAAGCAAAAGTGGAAAAAAGATAAAAGTGGTAAGGATGTCCATATTTCTTCTAACGTTATTTACTTTCGATGCAAGAAGCCTGCACATATGAAAAATCAGTGCCCTAATTTAAGAATTCTTCCTACGAAAGAAAAGGGCAAGGCGAAGCAAAATTTAAATTGGGGAAATAATGAAAGACAAAAAATCTCATGGGCATATCTGGTTTCTGAAGCATCGGACTAGGAGAGAGATAATGGTTAA